AAATCCTTTTTTAATATCGACAACTCAGCATTGGTCGCGTTGTTGAAGCCTAAGACGACAAGCGAAAAAGCGGATAAAGTGATCAAGAACGTGGGATTCGACTACTCTCACAGAATTGAGGCGGTGTGATTTTTGAATGCAATTTGGATGATGTAAAAAAGTTTATCTAGGTAAATGTGAAACACAATCACCATCAGTTTATCCATTCGAGGATTAGCAGGAAAGATGGTCGAGAGGACTTCTCCCTCTCCATTGTCTATGGGAGCCTGAATCCTCAAAAACATAAAGACCTTTGAGAGGAGCTCACCATTATCGGGCATTACATAGATTGCCCTTGGCTCCTTGTTGGGGACTTCAATGTCATCTTGGATGTGGACGATCGAGAGGAGAGGGGGTGGCTAAACAGTCTAAAGATTGCACTCTCTTTAACCACTTTATTAATGTCAATTCCTTGCAGTAGTGTGATTATGTAGAACTGAACTTTACATGGCGATATAGGACCCATTTCAATGGCTTGATAGAGCCATCTATAACCAGAGATGGTTCAACCAATTCCTGGAGGCCATTGTCCACCATCTTCCAAAAGTGCAGTTAGATCATAGGCCTCTCTTAATTATCCCTTACACCTGTCACACTCACAATAAGAACCCCAAGCCTTTTCGATTTTTAATTGCCTGGTTATCTCATCCTGATTTCCCTAACTTGGTTAAGAGAAATTGGCAAAACCATCTTCCCATCCAGGAGAACATTAATAATTTTAACTAGAATGTGCAAGACTAGAATATAAATGTATTTAGCTATATGACTAAGAGAAAATGCATCCTTTTAGCAAGACTAAATGGGATCCAATGGGCATTAGAAAGACACTACTCTGTTAGGTTCTAAGAGCTAAAGAAATCCTTGAAAAAGAAATTAGATGAGGTGTTACTGTAAGAAGAAATGGTCTAGAAGCAAAAATCCTTGTGTAATTGGATTTCTCTGGGGGATATGAACACCAAATACTTTCATGTTCAAACCATCTCTAAAAGAAAAAAGAACAAAATTAGTATGCTTAAGGATGGGGATGGTAATTGGCGTACCAATGAAGGCCAACTTCGGATTACAGCTTCCACTTTCTTTGAGAACCTTTATACGGGAAAAGAGGGACCCCTATCGCATTACCATGTAAGAGGTTTGCTCCCGAAGTTAACAGCTACAATGATTGCTTAGTTAGACTTTAAGATAACAAACCATGAGATTCATGACGCTTTATTTAGCATGCACCCGCTGAAGGCCCCCGGTGTGGATGGTCTTCACACGACATTCTTCCAAAACTAATAGAAGACTGTAGGCAAGTCGATTTGTGTAATGGTCAAGAGTATCTTTCATGGAAAACAGTTACCTGCTGGGATTAAAAAGACCTTTATTACCCTCATCCCTAAAGTTGCAAGACTATAGACTATTAAAGAATTTCGCCCGATCAGTTTATTAATGTTTTTATATAAGATCATTACTAAACTCATTGCCAATAGACTCAAGAACCTAATGTCTTTTTTGATTGGCCCTACCTAAGCTAGTTTTGTAACCAGTACGAATATTATGGATAACATTATTATTGCCCAAGAAGTGGTCCACTCTATGCAGCATTTGCGAGGGAAAGACAAATTGATGACCATTAAGATGGACTTAAATCTTATTATCACATCCGATGGGAATATGTGGAGGACACTCTGCTTGATGTTGGTCTCCCTCTTAACCTTATCAAAGTCATCATGTATTGTATCTTCTCTTGCTCCATGCAATTGTTATGAAATGGTTATCTCACCCAGGAGTTTCAGCCTACTAGAGATATTCGACAAGGGGACCGGCTTTCACCCTATATATTTGTGTTATGCATAGAACGACTATCCCATTGCATCAACACCTTGGTAAAAAATGATAGATGGAAGCTGATCCGTCTTAGTAAAAAGAGTCCTGCCCTCTCACACCTCTTTTTTACAGATGACCTAGTAATCTTTGGGAAAGTCACTGATGACTAGACTCGAGTTGGCCGTTTTCGGCCGCACTTGCATTGGTCCCTGTGATAAAACAACCCTAGGGCCCTCGGGGGGCCAAAAAATTACGAAAAATCGAAGCTTACCGGCGGCGGTGCTCTCGGGTGCGGCGGCTCTCCGGCGAGGTTCGTGTTTTGGTGATTTGGCTCTGATCAACCTGTAGAGAAAAGAATGGTGATCACGATGATATAAAAATTGTATCAAACGGAGGCCGGGAAGGGCCTCATCGGAGGCAAAAATCGAGGAGGGGCGCGGCAGCACCGCTGGGTTTCGGCCATATTTTCCGACCGTTTGGCCGGGATTTTGGCTCCGATTTGGCCACAGGGGAACTCAGCGTTGAAAAATGAACCGGGGGTATGAAATTTACCTTGATCGGCGGTCGAAAAACTCCCCGATGCGGCGGCCGGCTCCTTCGGCGTCTGGTTCGTCTTCTCTAGCGAGGGCAGGCGGCTAGGATTTTTGTGGTCAGGTGTGGGGGTTCTATTTATACCCTTTTGCCTTTTGATCACAGCCGTCCATTTTGATTAAATCTGGGCCGTCCGTGTGCGTGCATCTGGGTCGTCCGTGCGCTTGCATCTGGGTCGTCCGTGCGCACGCTTAATATGGGTCGTCCGTGCCCGCGGGGACGCATCTGGGCCGTCCGATCGCGCGCACGCGGATCGCCCACGTGGCCCATTCCTGGGTCGACGTGGTCTTGCCACGCGGCAGTTCCTGGTTGGCCAGGGCTGCTGACTGGGCCGCTGACGTGGCTGCTGACGTGGCGCTGACAGGGCACAATTTTTTCTAAATTACATTTTGACCCCCGGTTTCCGATTTTCTTTTCAAAAATACCCCCAGAATCCTAATTTTCACCCCTTTTTCCCAAAATCAATTTCAATTAAGTCCAAATAATATTTTTACCCAATTTAATCATTATTATTATTTTTATTCTTATTAAATTATATTAAATTAAATTAAATAAATCAATTAAAATTCAAAAATTATAAAATAAACACAATAAAATAAATTCAAAAATTAATTAAAAATAATAATAATAAATGGCAAAATTAATGGGTGTTACACATTCAATCTATCTTAAACAAAACCAAGCATTCTTGATGAAATTGGGCTTTGCTATGGTTGCGAAGCTCGACCTCCTATGGGTCCATGTCCTCACCCACAAGTATAGATGACCTGATTTATCATGGAGCTACAAGCCGATGGGACCAATCTCCCATCTTTGCGGCAACCTTAACCATCACTGGATGGACCTTCGAGTTTGCATCAAATGGTCCTTTGGTTAAGGGAGAAATGTTATATTTTGGGAATACTATTGGTTAGAGGATCTGGGGCTACTTAAGTTTTTGGCTTTTGGGCCTATTGAGGAGCGGGATCTCTATAGATGTGTCCAGGACTATGTGGTGCCGTCCGACCAATGGGATTGGGAGGCCCTTCACCAGGTGTTGCCAATGACAATATTTCAGACTCCTGTTTTTGGGGTATGACGAGCTGTGGGTACTTCTTGGTTAGCTCAGTTTACGCCCTCATAGAGAGCAATCATTGACATCTAGTTGATAGGAACTAAAGAGACATTGGGTGTTGGCCAAGTGCTCAATGGGTGCGTACGTTCCTCTGGTTGGCCTCTAAGGGGAAGCTTTTGACGAATTGAGAGAGATACTAATGTCACATGTCCTCTACTGCGGAATGTAGTAAGCGTGGCGGCTCTATTGAGAGTGTGGATCATGTCCTCTGTAATTATAACATGACCAAACTACTATGGTTGAAGATCATATTTGCTAAAGCCCAATCAACTTTTTTCAGTGATGCTATGGATGAGTGGTTAGTGCTGAACCTTAAAAATAATTGGCTCTAGTGCAAGATATTTCAAAATTAGAGAGTGACCTTTGACCTTACTTGCTGGAGCTTATGGAACTATAGAAATAAATTTATTTTTCAAGAGAGTGAGAGCAGTATCGACGAGCTTGCTGAGAATGTGTCTCTCATGATTGATTATATTTTTATGACTAATAATATGAATCTTTGTTTTCTTTCAGGTATGACACACAGATCGGATGAACTTATTGCTTAGCAGAAACCATCCAAGGGTTGGTTGTAAGTGAACACTGATGGTGCTTTTTGTGTTGCAATTAATCTTGCATGCTGTGGCAGACTTATTAGAGATGAAGATGGTGCTTGCCTGAGAAGCTTCAACTGAAAAATTGGTAGATGCTCTGTTCTTCATATCGAGCTTTGAGGTGCCTTCGATGGTCTTCAACCCGCTTGAAATGTCAGGTTCAGTAGTATCATTTTAAAAATGAATAGTGCTCTGACAGTGCAGTTACTCACTAAGGAGGATTACTATACTAATATGCATACCGTTCTCGTTTGTACAATCAAACACTTAATACTGTAGGATTGGCAGGTCCGGATCCAACATGTCTATCGCGAAGGGAATAAATGTGCTGACTAGTTGACGAATGCTGACTTCTCTCTATTGGTAGGTCTATATTCTCACGTTCAAGTACCGAATGATCTCTAACAGCTCCTTACTTACGGTATCATGGGTGTTTCTTAATTCATGATGTGCACGACGATCTCTTGAATTTTTTTTTGTTTTTGACTTTACTTATACCAATATATATATATATATGTGTGTGTGTGTGTGTGAAGTAAATGCATTTAATCAAGAAATTAAACTTGTCATGTCTTGGGAGCCTGTTAGAGTCAGTTAGAGTTTTAATTCATTATTATTATTTTAAATAGTAATTTTTTTAATACATTAACAAATTAAATTATTTATTTATTCATTTATTTTATATTACTTATTTAATAATTTTATATGTCTCGTTAAATGAAAAAAATAGTTGTATATATATGTACGACTCTTAATTATTATTTCACTAATTCAATAGCTGGTACATAATTATTATAATACAATTTTTAACCAAACACAAAAATAATTTTATTATATCTTGAAGTAGCGTTACTTGCTTTTCCTTCTCTTTCTCAATCTACAATGACCAACTATTTGTAGTTGACACAGAATTTACACCTCTTTTCTGCGTAGCTAAATTGAATACCAATGTTCACTTGTTTTGGATGGATAAATGGCTTAGAAGCGGTTTGCCCGGATTGGAATGTGCAAACAATTTTTGTTGCTCGAAATAGAGTCCCCTGTCAATCTTCTCTTAATATTGCAGAGGCGACCATGCTTGTTCGCCTTAAAATAATAATAATAATAATAAATGGACCGAAACTGCATTTGCCAACTTACCATAATAATATGAACAATCCAAAAACTATCTCCTTTCCCTTCCCGCGTCTATATAAACGCCTCGTACTATAAATCAAATTCAGACGGGCTCAGAACTCCACCACATCCAACCCAAAAGGATTCAGAAATGTCTGACGGCGACAGCACTCACCATCAACACACAAAACCAGAAGAAGAAGAAGAAGAAGAAGAAAATCCGGTTCATGGAGACATACTAGAGTCCGTGCTCTCGCATGTGCCGCTCGTGGATCTACTCCCTGCTTCTCACGTCTCCAAGTCATGGAACGTCGCCGTTTCCTCCTCTCTCCGCAACTTGAACCCAGTCAAGCCGTGGCTGGTCGTCCACGCCCAATCCAGACGGCCACCGTTCGCCACAACCACGCACGCTTACGATCCTCGCTCGCACGTGTGGGTAGAACTCAAGCAACACCCCGTCAAACACCAATCCCCACTTCGATCCTCCCACTCCACCATCCTCTACACACTCTCCACCTCTAAATTCTCTTTCTCCGTTGACCCCCTCCATCTTACCTGGCACCACGTTGACGGCCCGAAAGTCTGGCGAACCGACCCGGTCGTGGCTGCTGTTGGTGAGGTCGTGGTGCTAGCCGGAGGAACGTGCGACTTCGAGGAGAATCCCCTGGCGGTGGAGATCTTTGACTTGCAGACCCGAAGTTGGGAAACTTGCGAGTCAATGCCTGAGATCTTGAAGGACTCGGCCTCCTCGACATGGGTCTCGGTGGCGGTGAAGTCGAGAAAGATGTACGTTGTGGAGAAGAGATCTGGTAAGGGGTTCGCGTTTGATACGGAGACGAAGAGGTGGGAAGGACCGTACGATGTTATAAAACCAGATGATGGGGTGTTCTCGTGCGCGATTACGTTCGTGGAGGAGCGTATGGTGGTGGTGGGGATTATGGGGGAAGAAGGGAATGTGAGAGGCGTTAAGATGTGGGAAGTGAAAGGGAAGTTGTTGGAGGAGATGAGGGAGATGGGGGAGATGCCGGAGGCGTGTTTGGAGACATTGAAGGGAGAGGAAGATGAGTGGAGGGGAATGGCGTCGGTGTCATTGGAGTCGGCGGAGGAAATGGTTTATATTTACAACCCGGCGGAAGGTGAAGAGTTGGTCGTGTGCGAGGTGGTGGGTGGAGTGGTGGGTCGATGGCGGAGCGTACGGAACGCGGTGGTGAAAGATAGGAGTGGCGCGGTGGGGGAGAGGGTTGTGGTTTCGTGTTCGAGCGTCAGCATGGCTGATTTACGGCTGGCTTTGGGCAATGACACCGGCAGATTCTCGGTCAAGGGAATGGAATTCTGATGTCGTTTCTGGTTTATTCTTGCTGCGTTTCGTGGGATTTTATTATTGTTTTTCAATTTAATTGAGTAAGAGAAGTAGGTCGTCCAAACATGCAATCGCTCTTTTAAGTATTTGAAGTAGTTGATTTAACTCCAAATTAAAGCATATAAATTGCATAAAAATAATTATTTAAGTCAAAATATATTTCTATTATGGGTTGAAAAATTACAAAATTAACTAACTTAACGTAGATAGAAACATTATTTATATTTAATTTTTATATCATTGTGTCCATCTCTTCCATTTGCTCCAAAAGATATCTGAGACCGAGGAGCGAGAGAAGAATGATAAAATCTAGTAGAGAAGATAAAGGAAAGAAAATTAAGGCAGTGCAGTTGGTAGAAAGCAACGGCACATAAATGCAGCACCATCCACGCAGAGATACTACATCAATTCCAATTATTTGCTTATACGCTCCCCAAATCATATAATATAATATAATAGCCAAAATTCCTCCCATCACTCGTTCACATTTCGAATTTTCTATTTTCTCTTTTTTTTTTTAGAAAATAGAAAATAATAATAATCAGGTGGTCAGAAATTGACAAGAATGGATGATTTTGAAATGGGTAAGTAGATCTTAGTTTCCTTTTTTGTGGAGCCAACAGTTCACATTCACTTCACTACCAGTCTATATGGGTGGCGTAGTTAAGACCCAAATTCTTAAACCAAACTGAACAGGAAACTTTTGTTTTTCAGAAAATATTTTTCATAAAACCATCAGTTTTCCCAAAAGAAAATCATAAACAGGAGGAAAAATCCAGAGATAAATAGACAAGTAAAAGTCATAAGAGAACTTCTGATTTCTCTATTTTGTTTGGATTATAATTGGCCAAAATCATACTACAAATTATTGTTCATTGTCATACATATTGTTTGTCACATAAATTTAACTTTTTATGAGATTCCCTATCTCTGGGCCTTTATTGTACATCCCATGACCCAACAACCAAATATCTCGTTTTCTACTAAATAGTATAGTAAAACTGAGTAGATTAATTATTAGCAAAAATAAATTTAAAATCTAGTCCGATTTTAGAATAATAAAAATTAAATTTCTAAATATTTTCACAATTTTAGAATTAAAATAAGTAGGGATTTCCGAATGAGTTACGCAAATAAATTATTTTGTGAGAAAACCACAAATTTGGAACTTTATAAGTAATTAGAATTCATTTGTTATAGTTTTTAATTAATAGAAATTTAAATATATTTTTTTTTTTTAAAAAAAAAATGGTGATTCTTTTTAATTATGGCCTTAAAAAGATAGAATCTGTACACGGGCAATTTAAGACGTACCTCACTAATTAAAACAAAAGACAACAATTCCATGTGATTTTCAACAAGTATTTGGTCGGCGGAGTGGTTTGGTTTTTGGTCTTACACAACTACCCACCCCAAAGAAGAAGAAGAAGAAGAAGAAGAAGAAGAAAAAAAAAAACCTATATTAGTTGAGACTAACATCAGCTTAAAATAAATAAATACGAGTGCTGAAAAGAAGATAATTTAAGGCCCAGTTGGTATGGGGCTGGCGGTCCGGAGAAGGACCCACAGCCCCATAAAAAATAGGAAACATGTCCTTAACCCTGGCCCCATATCCTTTTAAAAAAAAAAGAAGCCCTTTTTGGTCAAAGAAAAGTTGAAAGAGGAATAACTATCATATTTGTACCAATAAGAATTTGCCACGTCATTGGTAGGCAGTAAGTAGAATGATGATTTATTCAGTCAAAATTCTCTTTTAATCTTCTCGGATTTGGTATTTTGCTGGGTCCCCTCCAGTTTCATCACTTCCGGCTTTTGCTTTTTTTTTTTTTTTAATTTTTTTCTTTCATCCTGTTCATGATAACAAACAGGCGTCAGATATCTTCTTACTTTTGAAAATACTAGCACTAATTTTCCCGTAAAAATTAACATTTGTTTAATATAATAGAGTGGATGAGAGAGTCCATGTTCATCTGGCATTAACAGTCCAATAAAACTACAAATTGAAGTCGTGAATTTTGACTTTTAATAATATCAAACACCAATAATTTATCTTGTTTTCTAATGATGGTCTTTTGTTTGAGTAAAAAAATAAAGTTACTCGACCCATGCCTTCCCCACTCAATCATTTAGGTGGAATCATTCGGATTCTTTTACCACTATTCTTTTTTTTTTTTACAAATAAAGGGTCGGTAAAAGTTTCTCCCGTAATCATTTCTAATGAGTTAAAAAAAAAAAAAAAAAAAAAAAAAAAAAAAGGTACAAATTTAATTAAAAATGTGGAATTTAAAATGTTTTTAAGTTAATATTTTGAAAAATTATTATATATGAATAATTTAATTAAAGATATGAGGTGGAGGAATATTTCAGTTCTCCCAGAAACGACAAAAATACTCATATGGCATTGGGTTTGGGATTTCCAGTTTCCCAAACACAACCAAATCAAGGCATTATTCTTATTAAACTCCACAAACACTCACACTTGCCTCTTTAAATCAACCATTAATCACATCCCAAATTTTCTTTTCCACTTTTACCCCTACTTTTTATATATATAAATAAAATAAATATGTTGGTAATTACGATAAGTAGAAAAAGTATATAAATAAATTCCTCATTCACTTGAATTTTTTAAAAAATTGAAAGAATATTCTCCATTCAGCAAGCCGTTAAGCAGAAAGAACATCTTACAATTTGTGTAGAGGATTAAAAAAAAAAAAAAAAGAGAAAGAGAGAGAGGGTAAACTTCAGTTTCATCTCACGTTGGTATTTTATATTTTAATATATTATTTCTTTTTACAAATCTTAGTACACATAGTTTGGTATTTTATATTAATTACTAGTCGGACAATGACTTGTATTTTTTTTTTTTTAAATCTTTATTAATTTTATAAGTTTTCGAATATAATCTAAATTTGAAGTTATTTATATTAAAAAATAAAAAATTAAATATTTGAAACAAATAAAAAATATTAAAAATTAAATTATATATTTTTTGAAGACTAAAGTAAAAAAGTTCCATTACATACGTAAAATATACATAGTAAGAAACAATGCTACAAAATATTGTATGTAAAAACTATTATTAAGCTAAAAAATATAAGAAAATGGAGGAAAGTTTATTTGAAATTAGAGTGAGAAGATAAATAAAATTGGAAAAAGCATATTATACCTTTTTTGTAAAAAATAAAAAATAGAGAAAAGAACATGTCTGAATAAAGAGAAAACAGGCAAAAAGGCATCTTTTATGATTTTTGAAACTTAATAACCTTATATTAATAAATGACAAAATAATATAAATATCTTTTTTTCAGCTTTCTAAAATTATTTTCTATTTTTTGACAAATTACAAAAAAAAAAAAACAGAAGTACTATTATTTTAACAAATTAATTTTGATTTTATTAATTTATTTCTTGTCAGAATGATTGGTTTTTCTTGTTCACTATAAAAATTAAAGTATGTAAAAAGAAATTATATTTGTCAATTAAATTTAAATTTATTATTATTTTTTTTTTTATTAAAAAAAAAAATTTCGGTTGAGAGAGAAAGGCAAAACCCAACAAGAGGATGGCCAATACACAGTAAGGCACGTGACCTGCCAAAAGCTCAACCTGCAAATCTCTTCTTTTTTCAAAGACATCCGGCTCTCCTTCTCTCTTATCAACTCCTTCAGTCCAATCACTGAAATTTCGAATATCTTTGCTATTCCTTAAAACAAAAAAATTATATTGCTTTTGGGTTTCTAAAATTAATTTCCCCCCCCCCCCCCAAAATTATATCTTTTCTTTTCGTTACAGTGTCTGCATCTGTATCTGTGTCCAGTGTCCACTTTGGCATTTTGTCTTCGCCTTGGCTTGTATGGTTCCTTCTTGCGTGAGTGATTTCATTCATCTTTTTGGTTTGTTTATGTACTATAAACAGCAAAAGAAAAGAGAGAGAAAGAGGTGAAGAAGATAATGGTGGTATGGAATCGCAGTGAAGCAACTAGGCAAAGGTAGAAACCAACAACAAGTCCACATGGAATTTGTTGGGATCATCCAAACACATTTGGAAATCAGACACCGACATTCTCAGATCTCTAGGATCTCAGAATTTTAAGCTCCTCGCTGCTTGTTTCTCGAGAAAACTCTCTCCTTCTTGCTATTGCTATTTCTCTTACCTCATTTGGTCCTCATCCTCCCTACTTCCGTTAAAATTCTCTGCATTTGAGTTGGGTATCCTCTGAGACGTTAGTTTAAGCTTCTGGGTCTTTGTTTATCACTCGGTTTAGTTGGAAAGCGACACGGTTTTGTTCTTTTGAGGCTAAAAAGTAGGGAAGAAAAGGAACCCTTCCTGTTATGGTAATTCTGGTTCTGATTCTGGGAACGAATCTTTTCTGGATAAGGCACAGTTAACAGGCAACTTATGTGAGAATGGGTTACGGAATTATTAGTTGTAATGGCGTTGATAAGCTGATACTGATTTTGCAAAGTAAAAGCTATTAAAAGTGAGAAAATGGAATATAATTGCTCCATGGTGCTGAGAGTGGGATTAGTGGTTTTGGCATTCATTGGGTCTTCTCTCGCTACTCTTTCTCCATCTGGTATCAACTATGAAGGTTGGGT